CACTCACTTGCAACAGCTACCACATCTGGGCCCCCATCAGGCCCCACAGCAACCATTTTATAAAGTCATCCAATCGCCAGAGGGCTTTAGGTTGCGGGAGAAACTGAGGCACTGAGAAGGCTCGTTCCCGCCCAGACCCACACTGCTCGTAAGTGGCGCTGGACGTTCAACCCTGGCAATCTGACTAGACTCCTCTCCAGCTTCATCTGTTGACCTGCTTGTCATTGCTGACCACCCCCCCCCCCCCCACCGTACAGTCCTCGCAAATGTTTTTCCCATGTGGACATAGGCCGGGCCTGTGTGTTCACTGCTGTATCTTCACCACCGGGCACAGAGCACCTGCTCCGTGTTCAGTGGGTGCTGCTGAAAGCAGAAATCACTCCCCCCCACCCCATGACCCTTGACCAGAGCAGGTCAGCTACTCAGCTCACCACCATCCCTAGACCCTGCTCCCTCCCTTGGTCTCAGACCCCAGGGCGCCCACCTTGGCAGTCTTGATGATCTCGGTGAAGTTGTCCATGATGGACTTGATGTCATCCTTGAGCCGCTTGTTGTAAGACTGCAACAGTGTCTCCTTGCTCTGCGGCAGGGCTCTCTGCTGGGCCATGGCGGGGGCCTCAGGCAGTGCAGGGACAGAGATCTGGGGCCACCGGTCGCCACCTGGGAGCCAGAGTCCGGGTGAGCGGAGCCAGCCTCAGCCGCCCACATCCCAGCAGAACTGGGATCTCGGGAGAGGCCCTCTCCGTTAAGCACACCTGTCCCATCATCCGCACACGGGCACACTGCGGGGACTCGTGTCCCGACCGCTCAGGGGCGACCCCCGAGCCTTCCCCGGCCCCTCCGCCGGAGCGTCCCTCCGACTCTACCGCCACCGCCGCGCCCAAGGCTCCCTCGCTCGGGGTGGGGGTCTGGGGGTAGTCCCGGACCACCTCCGTCTCCGCGCCAGGAGCCTTGCGCCTGCGCGCCGCCGACCGACGGAACTCGCGGCCTCGGAGTCGCTTAGTGGGGAGGGTCACCCCCGAGTAAAGACGGCGACCCCGCTCCGCCGCCCCCACCTGGTCCGCAGAGCCCGGCGCGACGGGCACTCGGTCGGGGTGGAGACGAGCGTGCGTCCCTCCCAGTAAGACCCGGCTCCCTGCCGCCGTCTCCGCTCCGCTCCCGTACAGCTTCGACTCGCCGCGGTAGGCGCGGTAGGCACCGCCCCCGGGAGGAAGCGCGCGAGAGCGGTCCTGTGGCTTTAAATCCGAAATCCCGCGCAGGCGTCAATTCTCGCGATCTCCGAGGTCGCCTACATATTACCCACAATTCTCTTTTTCTTTCTCTCTCCTCCAGCCTTCCAAGATGGTGAGCGATCTGGCGGTTCTCGGTGTTGAGCTGGGTCCGGCTTCTATCCACTGCCATCCTCTTCGGGGCGTGGCCGTGCGGGGATCCCTCCACGGCGTAGCGCTAGGGGAGCCCCGCGGGGCCTGGCGGGGTGGCACTGGGCCGGGTAGAATCCCGGCGGCTGGGTCGGGGAGTGGAGAGAGGAGGGCCCCGGCGCGGAGCGCAGCGCCGCAATGCGGGGCTCGGAGCGACGGGGCCGAACTCCTGGGGGCTCCCCCGGCGGCCTTGGGCGAGAGGTTCCCAGACCACCGCTGCTGTTTGCGGAGGCTGCCGTGTGCCGGGCCCCTAGAGACGGGGCGCCTAGTTCTGGGACGCGGCGGGCGCGGCGCAGGTGATGTGAAGACTATTTGCCGTCTGAGTGATGGTGAGGACGCTCCTAACCACCAAGATCGCTGATGCACACGGGCCGTCGCCGCGCTCGCCTCTGGGCTGCCTTGGCCGGGGCCTGGGGGGTCAGGCTCTGCTCGTAGGCGGGGATCGGGGAGTCTCCAGAGCAGCGCGTGCGGGAGCGCGGGGTTGATCCGGGTGTCGCTTCTCGCCTAGCCGAAAGGGAAGAAGGCCAAGGGGAAGAAGGTGGCCCCGGCCCCTGCTGTTGTGAAGAAGCAGGAGGCCAAGAAGGTGGTCAACCCCCTGTTTGAGAAAAGGCCCAAGAACTTTGGCATCGGTGAGTAAGGAGGGGGGAGCACGGCAGCGGAAAAGCGGAAGTGTGCTGAGCGGAGCGAGGGTCGTGTTCCTGCCCCGTTGATAGGTTTCATCGGGTGTGGGGTCCCCCCCCCCCCGGCTGGGATGTGGGTGCGCCGGCACCGGGTGCGTGGCCTCGTTGTCTCTCCCCCCGAGTGTGTGTCAGCTCCGCTAGGATTCGGCTTGGCCGCCAGGAAAGCAGCGCTCACAGGCACGTTGACCGCTGCACTGATGGGCCGACCGCTGGGCTGCTTGTTGGATGGGGGAGCGTCGCCAGTCCCCCTGTGATCATAGGTGTTTGTGTGCAGATGATGTAAGAGAATATTTGCTATCTGAGAAATGGTGATGACGCTTTAAACCACCAAGATCGCTGATGCACCTACACCCTCCCAAGTGGCGCTGAGCACGAACTTGACCGGGAGTTTGGGCCTCACTTACATCGTTGCCCTTAACTTCTCAGGACAGGACATCCAGCCCAAAAGGGACCTCACGCGCTTTGTCAAGTGGCCCCGCTACATCCGACTGCAGCGGCAAAGGGCTATTCTCTATAAACGTCTCAAAGTGCCTCCTGCGATTAACCAGTTCACCCAGGCCTTGGACCGCCAAACAGGTGAGTTTGTGTACACCAGCACGGAGACGTTTCCCGGGCAGTTAGGACTGATCTGAGGTCTTTAAGGAGTTCTGGGTACTTGCAGGAAACTGGCTTACTAAAATCTAGGTTACCTTGTCTCGTTTCCAGATCGCGAGGGTGGCATAGCTGAAGTGATCTCGTGCGTAGTCTGAGATTTTTTTTTTTTTTTAAGTTAATTTCTGTTGAGAGCACACACTTGGTGGCACAAGCAGGGGAGGGGCAGAGAGAAGGAGAGACAGAATCCCAAGCAGGCTCCACACCATCAGCGCAGGGCCCTGTTAAGGGCTTGAACTCACAAACTTGGAGATCAGGACCTGAGCCAGGATCAGGAGTCTGACACTTGACTGTGCCACCCAGGCGCCCCGTGGTCTGAGATTTGCACTACGATAGTATTCCGGACAGTGACTTAAAGCATCACGTAGATAGCAAAGGGCGGAGCTTGAAACACGAGGCTAAACTGACGTCATTCTTGCAGCCACTCAGCTGCTCAAGCTGGCCCACAAATACAGGCCGGAGACCAAGCAAGAGAAGAAGCAGAGATTGCTGGCCCGGGCTGAGAAGAAGGCTGCTGGCAAAGGGGATGTCCCCACTAAGAGGCCCCCTGTCCTTCGAGCTGGTGAGTGGGCCCCTCCTTAAAGGGGGTGAGTGGGGGGGTGGGGCAGGCTGTTGGCAGTGATGTATGAATTTCTTCACCTGGAAAACACCGTGGAGAGCAGAATCCGAGCTTTTTAACCCTGAGCCACAGCTGGGTGCGTACCATAGTAGAGCTGCTTTTGTGACCTGGGCAGTCCCTGTGAACTGTTCATGCAAACTGTTTGTGCTTCCAGGGGTTAACACTGTCACCACCTTGGTGGAAAACAAGAAGGCTCAGCTGGTGGTGATCGCACACGATGTGGATCCTATCGAGGTGTGTCAGATTGGTTGGTAAACGCTGTTAAAGTCAGTTTGGGCCCTCATGTCAGTACTGGGAAGACTGGAAGTAAGCTGGAGTTTGGCTCGAGGCCCAAGTAGGCATGTGACTGCTTTCCGTTGAAAACAGTACTGATGAGGGATCCCACCGATAGCCATTGCAATGATGTGGATTTCTCACTGAATTCAACCTTGAAGTGCAAAACATGAGCTTTTTAACCCTGAGCAGTTGCTAAGTTAGCTTCTAAATTACTACTTTTGGCCAGTATACGTTCTAAAGCTAATACGGTTTTCCAGCTGGTTGTCTTCCTGCCTGCCCTGTGTCGTAAGATGGGGGTTCCCTACTGCATCATCAAGGGGAAGGCCAGGCTGGGGCGACTGGTCCACAGGAAGACCTGCACCACTGTCGCCTTCACACAGGTTAACTCGTAAGTATGCAAAGGGCCCCCGAACTCCCAGGTGTCAGTAGAGGTCAGGCAGTCCTCTCTCCCCCAGTACATTTCATTCACTTCTCGGGATTTTACCTTTAAGACCAAATGTTCTACCTTCAAGCAACACGTTCATCTGAATCTTTGCCGATGATGGTTACGAATTTCTTCACCTGAATAAGCCGTGTGGTCATGTTGTGTCTGAGGCAAAGGCCTTGTGTTTGGGGCTACAGAAAGGAAGTTATTCCTGTTTTCTGGAAGGGTAACACACTGATGACCCCCTTGTCCCTCCCGCCTTTTCAGGGAAGACAAAGGAGCTCTGGCTAAGCTGGTGGAAGCTGTCAGAACCAATTACAACGACAGATACGATGAGGTAAGCAGCAGCAGGACCCAAAACGTTTGGGGTAAGTCAGGCCTGTCTCCGGGGGACTGGCCAGCTCCTCCAGAGCAGTCCTACTGGGCAAAGGACTTGGAGGGAGGGCCAAGGAGAAGACAGCACGACCTAACATGGCTCTGAGAGCCTGACAACGACAGCCCACGCCAACTGCCTCTCCTGTCTTTGCAGATCCGCCGCCACTGGGGAGGCAACGTCCTGGGTCCAAAGTCGGTGGCTCGCATCGCCAAGCTGGAAAAGGCAAAGGCTAAAGAACTGGCCACCAAACTGGGCTGAGTGGGCACAGGTGACTTTTCTGTATATAAAAGTAAATAAAAGGCTCTTTCTCAGCCCGGGCCCGTTGGCATTTAGGGTGGACTGCAATTTTTTGTCATCTTAACACACGTTTGGGGTGGTGGCAAGGTCCTTATTTGTTGTAGGGTAGAGTTAAGCCTGCTGTCTAGGTTGTACGTTGATTATTTGGAAAAAGCAGCCTTAAGACAGACTGCTGGGTCACATACCAGGCCCAAGCCTAGGCTTTACGATCATCCAGTTATATAAGTGGCCCAGGTAGAATGACAGATACGGTACAGAGCGTAGCACAGAGATTTATTTATGCCAGTAGTTGCTGATCCCACATGAAAACATCTCCAGAAATCAGCCACTTCCTGACAATTTAGGGGAAGGGCTACATCTGCTAGTCTCACACACCAGAAGTCCGACGTAGGAATTTCTTAAACCACAGGTATGATGTAGCTGCACAGAGTCCATACCTTGGGTCAAAAAGATGAACAGTCAGGGTTCTGAAGGGGTGGGGGACTAGAGATCCAAACTCACCACGGGACATCGTATCGGGGACTCACCAGGTGATGATGTATTGCATGTGCTCATTCCTCAGAGTGACTCGGGTTTGCCCTCCAATGGGTCCCCCAGGGACGGTGCTCTCTGCAGAGATAACGGACTCAATCCACAATGGCTAAGCCGCCAGCTTCTCAGCATCAGTTTCTCCCTGCCGCAGCTTGGCCAGCTGTTTCCTTGGAACCTTGCAGAGCTTTTAAGATTTTTGTGCGGCCAAAAGTTCAGTACATACCTTTCACCTGTAACCAACCCTGGGTTGCCTCTTTCCAGACAGATATTCCCCTTTCTCCCAACGGATACTACGATGTAACTAACAGGAAATAACTAGAAAATTTCCAGGGCTAAAAGGAAGGTAGAACGGGGTATTTACAAAAAAGCTACTCGATCTTCTAGGGTGGGCTGATCACAACGTACTGAAGTCAGCATCAATGAAAATGGGGTCTGCGCCTGTGAGCCTGGCCATGGCCTCCAGGTCCCGGTAATGCCAGTGATTTCTTTCTGGATTGTTCTCAGGGACAAAGGGCTTCCTGGTTTCTGTCAGCCTCACCATCCCAACTAGGTCCACTTCTCCCTCGATCTAGAAAGGAAAATGTGAGATTCCTCCTTAAGGCCTGTGGTTTCCATAGAGCCCTGTTCACAAAGGACGGTTCTTGCCCCTTACCTGGCCTTTGGGCCGTGTATCTGGATTCACTTTCTTCCTGGGGACAAACCCTCTATTTACCAGGATGGTGATTCTGAAGTAACAAAGTATGCTCTCAGGCGGAGAAGGATTTTTGGACAAAGGTTAACGCTGGTAGTCTCCGGGAGAACAAGGAGCAGGTGTGCCCTGGGAAGGCCTGCCTCTGTCCAGCCTGTGTCCTGACTGGCAGAACACCAACTCTGAAGACCGATATCCAGGGCCCCTGGGTATCAATCTCCGCCTCCTGCCTCGGGCCGCCTCCTGCAACATCCAAGCAGTGAATGACCCTCTCCCACAACCCGAGTTCTGACCTGTCGGTCCTACTCACCCCAGCTCTGTGCAGTGGAAGGGGGTGATGACGTAGGCCCCGCTCTCTGGCGAGGAAGAGAGGCGGCCGGCTTCCCGGGCCTCCCGGGCCGGGTCCACCATCGTCCGAGGCATCATGTACAGTTCCTTGGAGTGGTCAAAGTGCCCCCTGACCTTCACTGGCCTGTACTCCAGGTTCTTCAGTTCCATTGGGCTACACAGCAGTGGGGAGAAGTGAGGCCCAACAAGATTGGGCGGGAAGTCAAAGCCTGTGAGGCCTGCCCGTCACAAATAGGGCACACGTTGGCTCCCTTAAACTAGCTCTTGTCCCTCCAGGACAGTGGGTCAAAATGAGGGGTAGAGACGACAGAATCACTTAGGATGCTTTTTCAAGATTCCGCTCTCCTGTCAAGACAACATGAGGGCACACCACCCCCACCCACCAGGTAAGAATTGCTGCTCCAGGGAGCCCATCAGCACCGTGCCCCCACAGGTACGATGGGCCTGGAAAAAAAGGTGAAACCCCAAGTCACAGATCTCTTTCTAAATATATCATGCCACTCCCCAACGGTGGTCAGGAAGCTCATTAGAACAACTCATCTCGAGGGCTCCCGTCTGAGGTCAGGACAGCAAGCGGAAGCAGCCAGGCCCCGCTGCCGACCTTGAGGGAGACCGGTCCCAGGCGGGCAGCCACACACTCACTCTGCTGGCAGAGGGATGGGCTCAGCCATAACTCTAGACTCGAGCTCCGCTATGAGCTTCAGCTTCCACTTTCGACGCTGGACCTGTGGAAACAGCACACCCAAGCAGATGGCAACAAGGGCAAAAGCTCAGAGCCACCATGGGCGCCTGGGGAGCTCAGTCGGTTAACCATCTGACTTCGGCTCAGGTCATGCTCTCATGTTTCATGGGATTGAGCCCCGTGTCCGACTCTGCTGACAGCTCAAAGGCTGGAGCCTGCTTCGAATTCTGTTTCCCTCCCTCTCTACCCCTCCCTGCGTGCTCGCTCGCGCGCTCTCTCTCTCTCTCTCTCAAAAAAACAAAAATAAAAAAAAAAAAAAAAAAAAAGAGCCATCAGCGCCAAAGCCAGTATTCACCTGCCAGGTCCCCAGGCCAAAGGCAGTCGCAGGAATGAGAAGCAGGAACCACTGGAGAAAGGAGTCATCCTCCGCTTTGGTGGCAGGTGCTTCAGCTGCAGAACTACCACACCTGCTTGGGCTCCAGGACAACCCTAGGAAGGTTTCCAACCCTGGCGTGGGGTCAGAAGCCCCCGGCAAATAGACCTGGAGCAGCCTATTCCTCAACGAGACACGAGCACTACTGCCCCAGAGTGAACAGACCAGCCTGTGGCCACCGGGCACGCTCCCTGGATGTTCACCGACTGCATAAGCAAGACCTAGGGCTTAGTCCTGCCTTTGCCACCAACCCCGACCCTGGGTACTTCGTGTAACCATCTCCCGCCTTTTACACAAGAATAGTCTGCCGCGTACTCCGTCGCATTAAGATGCACCCGCTATGCAGAGAGGGAAGCGCGACCAACTCGGGAAAGGGGCTCGCAAGAGCACTCCCAACAGCTTCTCTTGTTCACTGCTCGTGAACTTAAAGTTGGAACCACGTACAGGGAAAGTGTAATTCAGCGGTCAGAGTGTGAGCCTCATCAAATGAGGGCACCTCGGGCGTCGCGGACGGTAAAAAAGCAGGCCTGGAGCAAGGGTTCCAAAGCACCCTTCCTTCTTACGCAGCACGCTACCCTGCCGGACGTGCACGCGCAACCCGCACGCCGTGGCTGTGGTTTCAGTCTTGGGATGGCCACTCCTCAGCCCGCTGAGGCGCTGGGAAGTGACGGACCGTCCCCGGCCGGGCGTGACTCGGGAGTACGAGAGGGGCCGGCCCGCGGGCCACCTCGGCTAAGAGGCACGCCCGCGTTCGGGCGGCAGTTCGAAGCTCCTCTCAGTG